TCCTATTAATTCATGCTCGTGGAACACAATCATTATTACTGTACTCCCGCGTTAGTTTTTATGGTGTTTATTTGTTTATGTGACATCAAAAGATCCCCTGCCTATGTCCTGAAACATACCGATTGTCAATATTTTGCGATGGACGATGTTTCATGCAGTTATTATCTACTATTTTCAAAAAACAGCTCCAAGACACAAGTTAATTAATCATAAGTGATCATAGCTAAAAGAAAACAAAAAGACACATTTTTCCTTGTATTTATATGATCAAACCTTATCAAATGTGTGAATTTTTGTTTCTGCAGACTGCAGCAGTGCCAAATTGATTCAACATTTGTGAAGCTTTGAATCTGAGGCTAGCTTCACGCTCTTATCCCCAGTCAAAGCAAAAGTCAACATTAGTGCGATTTATTTATCTGTGCTGGAATTAATTCTACTAAAAATACATTTTAGCTGTTTTGTATGAAGGTTATTTTCATTGATTTTTAACCAGTGTCATGTAAAATATTTTTTTTCACTGGATTTTATTTTCACTGATTTATCCTTTCACAGTTCACATAGTGTCTATTCCTTTAGCGCAATATTTAAAAAACTGTTTTAATTAATACAAGACAGCAGCACCTACATAAACTAAGCCAGTAATTCATTCCTTGTATTCAAATTATTATCTTTTTTTTTTTTTAATGCCTTTTTGTTCCCTTACTTTTTATGTGGTTATTTTTCTTTTACTAATATCTGATTTGTAACCCTTTTCATCCCCTCCGGGGGATGTTGTGTGTTAATAAATAAATAAATAAAAAGTGAAAGTAAATTTCAAGTGAAAGTACTTTACACAATACTGTAAAATCGGCTAAATTAAATCCATGTGAAAATGTAAAATAATAATAGAACTCAAATTCATGTACTTAAAAACCCGGTAAATATGCTCAAAATAGTGAACTTCAATGCGAGAGAAAATAAATGGTATTACACACAAAAATTACAGTAATGGATCCGAAGGGGGGGGGGGGGTGATTATTGATTATCATTCAGGAGGCAAACCCGTCAGGATAGTAAGATCACTGTGTGGGCTAGCGCCGCGGGGTACGTCTATATTATAAGAGTAACTTATTAATCAGGTTTCAGATTAGCAACCATATACTAGTACATTACTAGTACTACGTTTATATACCGGTATTACGTTGTGATCTTACAACGTACAGTGAACGTATGTATCAACAACAAAAAGAAACGTCGCTTCCTCACTATTCGTCCACGGCCGGCTGAGCAAGAAATACGACTTAAAAATCGTACCAGTTATTTCATTATCATGGAATACAACTAAAATTATTATTCGGGTATAATATTAGGCTGAGATGAGATCCTACGTTACATAAAAGAACAATTATTGGACCACTTTCAGTGGACACATGTACTCACTTTGGCATGATTCTTCTGTACCGGAATGACTAACAGACAGAAGGTACGAAGGTTTTGTGTCGTTGGGGGCGCTTCATAAAACAGACTCTTGCAGGATGCTCTTGCATAAATTAAATTACATTTGTACTTGTACAAATGTGCTGTGACCAGGAGTTTCGAGGTTCCCGGAAAAATCCACACTCACTTGGGGCTGAAAATGAATAAATACTATTTTTTTTTAAAAAGTCATCTGTTATACGCACGTTACGTTCATTTATATTATTATTATTATTATTAATAATCCTTTATTGCAGGCCAAAAAGTCCCATATTCAATACAATACTAACAAAACCCTTGGGCACAATGAACGCGCGGGTGAACGCAGTGCTTTTCAGCGCTCCCCGAATTTTTACAGGTTTGGCTTCACGACTTAGTCGGTTTTCAGTTGTATTGGACATGTCCTGGGTAAGACGTTAAAATTGCATCCGGTTGTGGAGTTTTTGTACTTGGGAGAATGAGGTTACCCCTTGCCACAACTACCTCCAGGCATGGAGGTAAAAAAGAGAAAAAAGAGAAGGAGTGAGGACGCTATTGTTTCCGCTGGTTTCATGATGCTTTGGATTTGTTTACTCAGTACACATTGTAATTAGTTTGCAAACACGCTGTACAATGTCACAGTTAATCGGCTTACATGTTTCGGCTGTATTCGGAAACTTCACGAAGATTCTCAACGCACTGCGCATGCCCAAACAAATAACAATAATACAAAATGCAGCGAAAAACGTACGCTGAGTGTACTCAACGCCCGAAATCTATTACTACAAAATGCGCGATTCTAAACATCTGCACAGTTCTGCACACCAATGAAAAATGACTCATCAAAACATCTTGTTATAATCTTATCATGTATCTTTAAATTTCACTGCGGAAATTTGCGGGATTTTTTCAATCAATGTCCAAAGTTGGACGACTATTGCGATGAAAAATATCAGAAAAGAAGTAAGCGCACATCTTGGTAGCGTCCGTATGCAGAATTTCCGGTAGTGTGAAATGACCTTTGTGGTCCGATAAAGGTCATTGCGCATGCACAATTCTTTTATTTATGGTTTGCGCATTCAATTTTATAGACGATGTTTAAACAGAATTTATTATTTTCAGTTCTACCCTCGTTTTTTTGTGTAAATAAGCGGCTATCATCATGTAGATAAAACGACTTCTAAACAAAAACAATAAGTGGCTTAACCAGACCAAAGACAAAGGATGTTTATAAGATTAACATGGGCTTAAATAGCGTCCTCACTCCTTCTCTTTTCTACCTCCATGCTCCAGGTCATCCTTGGGCAAGGTGTAGTACCTGTCAGCCTTGGGTGCCAACTTCCCACATAATAAGTTTGGTGAACGTCAGTAAGGGCATACGGTCATAAAAGCCTTGCACCAACTCAGCCTCACGTGTGAGGTATCACCTATTAAAGGCAACGTTTACGTTTATTTAAATATGTATATATGTGTCCTGGGCAAGATTTTAAACTACATCCGGTTGTGGAGTCTATGGACGTGGGAGAATGAGGTTACCCTTTGCCACAACTACCTCCAGGCCACCCTTGGGCAAGGTGTAGCACCTGTGAGCCTTGGGTGCCAACTTCCCATATAACAAGTTTGGTTGACGTCAGTAAAGTCACACGGTCGTAAAACTCCTGCACAAACAGATCCGCATAGGTGGAAAATTTTTCATGTAAATATGTATATATTAGTTTCAGTTGTTCTTAGCATTTGGCAGGGGGGATCGTAACCTCTTGTGGTGAGAACCAGTGTGACTGGCCTGCCAACGTGGTGCTAAGGATTTCATTGGAAAAGTTATCAGTTACATCAGTTAATGTAATTTCGTTTTTACATACCCGTAAATCAAAAAATCACCAACACTAATAAATACAACGTCTAAAATTAGTTCAAAATTTGGATAAGAAAAAACTGTCAGAACTGACACAGGTACGAATTAAACCATTATCGCTCGTAGGTGGGCACTGACAGAAGTTATAATTCCTTGCGCTGAACAGATTCAAAGTTTAAAATATTTCTATTTACACTATTACCATTAGCGCTGCTAGCCCTAAAGATCAATTTTACAGCGTATTCACAATTTGTGTACGATAATCACACCAAACATTATTCAAACAATAGATACTGTATAAATATGTTCTAAATAACATACACTTAACTTAATCTGAACTTTTTATAAATTTTCGTAAAATAACATTTGCGTATAGCGGATGACTTTAAAAATCTGAGTATTTATTCATTTTCAGCTCACAAGTGAGTGTGGAGAAGTCCCTCAGTGTAATGATTTACTGGGACGTGACTTGGCGGGTGCTTGTCCTCGAAATAGTGTTTTGATCACCCACCAATCATGTTCGTCCTTCACAACTCACTGAAAATTGTATAGTTTATTTTAGTACTGACCAGGAGGTAGTCCGAGGAGAGTCTGTTTATTTATAAATTTTGAGAAAATTGGCAAATCGCCTTTAATATTCAGTACAGCACATATAAATATTTATTGGATTATTAACCAACTATAAAAGAACTACATTTGTGACAATATATTTAGAGTAGATTTGATGAACATTTCGATTTACGTGAACTAATAGTATAATTCAGTCATTTTCTGCCTAAAATCATGAAGCTATGTGGGACTTTTACCGATTTATGATTTCTACTGTGCCGATTGTATAGTGATCGGTACAATTTAGAAATTATGTATATTCAATATTAGTATTTTATATACAAGTCTAAACATGATTAAAATATTATAGTAAAATCTACTCATGTCTTGCTGTTCTGTTAATTGATGTTAGAAAACAAGTATATAATATTAGTTAAATAAAAACATTTTTATTATGTATCCAAGTTGTTTTTGACATTGACAATAGTTTGTTGACATTACCAATTATTTGTTTTTAAAGTTGCAGTTCATTGTGATGCTTTAGATTAATTTGTATTTTTGATCTTGCCATGGCAAGTTAACGACTTTAAATATTCACTATTTTAGTCTTGATCTCCGGATAGTTTTTTTTCACCATTCTACATACATTAAGACAGCGCACTCACTGTCGAGTTTTGATGAACGCGTATATTGAATAGCCAAATACCCTTGTTACTATGAACATTGATAATAAATGCCGAGTAATTACATGTTCTTGTTGCCATGCAACTACTTGAACATCCGGGGACAATACATAGAACTTGTCTAATGGGGACTTACCAGGTGCAGTCAACGAGTAAATTTTCAAAAATGTTTAGTATTTATGTTTGATCAACAGTGACTTAATTTATGAACATTATTAAGGCTTAATTTAATTTGGAAGGGAGAGGTCAATCTGTTCGCAACTTCCCTCCCTCTCAACCAAATTAAATTGCCCTTCCACTGTTTTTTGCGCCCACTGCCCTCTCCCCACTCAGTTTTTGTTCCCCGCTGCTTTCTCTCCACTCGGTTTTGCTCCCACTGTCCTCTCTCCATTCAGTTTTTGTTCCCCGCTGCCTTCTCTCTACTCGGTTTAGCTCCCACTGCCCTTTCCCCACTCAGTTTTTGTTCCCCATGACCCATTCCACCGGCAACACTCTTTATTGAGAGAGTTGTACCCAAGTTCAAATTTTGCACTTCTGAAAAATACAATGTACAATCAGTGATTTTGCCCTTACTCGCTCAATCTAAAAATGGAACTTGCCTGCCCTCTGAATAAAAATCTTCTCGTACTGGAATTCCCCTCTGAGAAACCCTATTTTTAATTCCCTCCCACTGAAGATGTTTTATTTTGCCTGCCGGCTAAAAATCTCTTGCGAACACATTTTTTCACGAACAGCTCCGTTGAGTGCACCTGACCTACACCTGAAAAGGGTCTCGTTTTTTGGATTTTTGGTATAAGTATCAGTCTTATTTCCGGTCAAGATAGGTATAAATATTCGTAATATTTTTCGATTTAGTATACTTTAATGAGTATGTATATGAGCGAATATCTCCACCTCATATCCCGGCCTCAGTTCCATATATACATCAACCCGGAAATTAAAAAAAAGACAATCCACATTTGTGTTAAAATAATAAGCTCTTATGTAAGTGACAGAATTATTTTTATGGTCAAAATACATATTTAATAAATCAATATACAATGCAACTGTTGGCTTACATGTGCTTCTATTGGAGATGCTCTTTAAATAGAGCAAATACGGTAACTGTTTTATTTGGAATAAACAGTGATGACAGAAATCGTATTTAGGTATAAATATAGGTATAGATTTTGCCACTATCCAGGTATCAAAATGGTCACACTTTTGAGCACTCAGGGGAGCTTCCCTCCCAGCCATGTATCAAATGTCCCCGGGCTTGAACATTGACAATTAGTTGTAGAGAATGTATAGTAGTGGGAACATTGATTTTGATTCGGTAGGGACAGTTATGTATGTGTAATGTGTTAACTCCACATTGGATTTTGCAAAGGATTGTGGGATAGAAAATTGAACTGCAGAGGGTGTAGAATACTAGTACTTAAAGTGTCTGTGCAATGCCCACCCACACGTTTCCCATTTTAAGTTCGTACCTTCTGTCTGCCCACTGAAATGGGCAGTTATTGATTTTTTGTGCTGAAAATGATTATTCGTATCCAAGTAAAATTCAGATATTTCTCGTGCTGTAGCCACGCCCACCTATCCTGAGTTAAACGGTCGACTGTTTCCGGATTTTTGACTCTCGCCGAAAGTGCGCCACCAAATGCCAAAATGTGAGTTGGAGCCATTATACCCCTGAGCCGTACTTTTACAAGACACTGCGTCATTCGACATTCTTTTAAACGATATACATTTTCGGTCGGCGTTTTTTGTTGTTGTCTATTTCATTATTTGGGGGGGGGGTTATTCCTCAGCTCCTGAGAGGGAGGTTATTTGTAGATATGTTGGCGATCACCACTGTGTCTGCGGAAGTACTATGGGAGATTGCATGATGGGAGTGAAAAGTCTTTGGATCTGTAAAATAATTTTAGAAAAGTGAAAACTAAAGTGACTGTAAAATAAATGTTG